ATTATTCTGAATGAAACATGCCGTCCACGGCAAACTTTTCATCGTTGTATCCGATATGCGGTGGATAACATATCGTTATATATGGTTTTTTTACCCCATAGCCACAATGCATAAAATGAGACTGTTAAGTCGACCCATCGTTATAACCGATATATCGTTATATGTGGTATCGTTATAAGTGGACTGCACTGTATTCGTACCTGACATATTTTCGAATAAATACAGTAATTTTTATTCCACACTTGGAAGAATCGGTGCTTCATACACTCTCCGCATTCATCCAAGCCTTTCTTTATTCGTAGCTGTGATGGATTTGCCTTTGGCGACAGGCGCTAATTGTGTTTTGCCGCCATATTTCAAATTGACGCGCTGAACTATTTTCTCCCATTTTGGCACAAAAAAAAAAAAACACCACAAAAAAACAAGAGAGGGGGAGGGATCCTAAACGCAAGCGCTGCGGTCTCATAGTGGCTTGGAGTGGCCGAACCCACAAGGAAAAGGGTTTCCTCTAAGGTGAGCTTTTCCAAGGTGGAGCGCAAATGCTCCCAAAATTTCGAGTCGTAAAACAACTAGCAACGAAATCAATTTCCTTCAATACAACTCGCGTATGTCTTCACACGTGACCGATTGGGACGGCCAGCTGGCTGCCACGAAAGCGCGAGTCAAAGGCCAAGTTCATGGATTCTGCATCCCGCAGATTTCCGCTACCGGGGAGGGGGGGCTGAATTATTTGCCTTACACCCCCCCTTCCCCCCCCCCCCCCCCAGAAAAACAAGAGGGGGTTGGATGTCTCAATTGCAAGCGCCAACATCACCATTGGCCGAACACATGGTTTCCCACTAAGGTGAGAGTGTCAAAGGATCAACACAACCAGCAGAATCTCCGTCAAAATAACTCACGTACGTCTTCCTGGGACACCTGTGAACAGACGGGACGGTGCAGCTGGCTGCTGCAAAAGCGCAGGTCACAACTTTGCTCACTACTAGATTCTTTTCACAGGAACACCATAACGCGCCTGGCCCCTTTTTATGACTTGCAGTGCTTCTTAAAGTTCTCTTGACCCTTATGGCCAAAGATTATGCATTTCTGACAACTCTATGGTAAAAAAAAAAACAAAAAATGTTTAAAACTTTCATATGCATTTTTTTCCTTTTGCAGTATTGTGTGATCTGTGCTGCTTATGCACGCTAGTTAGTATACTTAGAATTGTAAGAACTCTACGAAATTTCGCACATAGCATGATGAAGGCCTGTAGAGTGCAAATATCTATTTTTATTTCCAAATGCTGCTTAGCTGCGTTTTTCAAAATATTACATAACATTGAAAGCCCTTGGCAACTAAAGCCATGGTAGAGTTTCCTATGTTATTATTGTATTTACCTTTTTACACATGCAACCTGTGTAGTTTTCTGCACTCTACAGTTCCAAAGGATCATTGTGAGCTATATCTGCATGCTTTATCGGAAAGTTTTATAGGTCAGAATAATCGCGTAACAATAGCCATAATTTCGTACTATCTCAGCTACAGAAATAAAACCAAACAAGCTACATGAAAATAAATGACATATTTGAAAAAAGAAGAAAAAACTATTAGCAGCCAATTTTTGTTTAATTCAGGCTCTCATTAAAAAAAATCATTTTCCAAGTAGCACCTCCCTTTAACATTGCACTCTACCACTACCGAAATGCAATCAACACCAATAAGGCCAATCCTGCCACTTGGCATGTTGCCGCGAGAAGTTTGCCCAAGACATGAAGATTGGGTGTAGAAAAAATCCCACTCGAGTAATGAACCAGAGTAGCGTGCGTGATACGAAGTTTGCATTTACGGCTGGGAGATCAACAACAATGAAGACCTACTAAGATTATGTAAAAACGTGCGCTGGCAGCAACAGCCAAAGCAGTTCTGAAGCCGCAAGACAAATTTACAGACTACAAAGCAAACAATATCTGTAAAAGGCTCTGTAAAAGGCCCTTACTGCAGGTGCGAAGACAAAAAGCAAGATTAGAATTCCCTGATCAACTTTTGAACAAAAAAATTGCTCTAGACCCATCCCCGTATTTGACACCCCTTAGTAGCCGGCCCACCCGACACCACCACCCAAAGGCCTCGATCACATATTTTGCTCGCACAGACCTACTGAAGTATTCGTACTTTCCAAGAACCATATGTGAATGGAACTGTCTAACTAATAGATGTGATGAATGAACTAACCTACCAAACAACCTTCTTCGCCCTTTATTGTTTCGTTCCGCAATTATTTTATTTGTACGTGTATTACCACCCTGCTTGGACCTCGAGTCTGCAGTATTTAATATATAAAATAAATAATAATGAACCTTTTTTTAACGGGAAACTCAAAGTTGACTAGGACAAAAGTGCATGTGCCATGTCGAGCTGCGCACGGCCAGAGTCAATCTAGTGCAAGTGCAAAAGCTCACTCTCCTAAGCAACCGTACTCCTCCCTCATTAGGCCAGCTCACCCAGCGGCTGCTATCTCATTTTTCCTCCCTACGCCCTTTGTTTGTCCACCCCGCGTCCCCCTCCTCCATATCGACCTTGCCGCTCGCTCCCCGGCAATGTACCCAGCGTTCCTCCTTTTAGAAGTGCACTTGCCACCACACTATCAAATACTTTCAGGCAACTGCAACATAACCGGTCTTTCATCTTGGGGGACTGCACAATAAGCAGTACGAGTATACATGAAGTTGCCACGGGAGGCTAAATGGGGAAAAAAGAAAGACTGCATTGTGACTAGTACTACACTACAAGCGGTTACGCTATAAGTGGTCTACACTGTATAACGAGCTCGCCTTCATGGGGAGAATCTACTTGAAAACATTTTTCTTTAGTATTCACCTTAGATAAATGAAACTCGAGCTGTTTATGCGAATTGTTGTGCCGATTTTAAATATACAATTAGTTTTCTTGAAAGTTGCTTACTGTTAGCTCTGCGAAATGACAAAGTGAAATTGACTTTTTGAACCCCTCCCCCCTTCCTTCATCCCTAAACTTCTGTAATTTTTCACCATGCGTAGATCATAATGTTTCAAATAAGGTGTAAATACAAATAACTAATTTGGAAGCACATACGAAATACATTATAGGCATGAAAAATAATAGACGTAAGAAAGTCCATATTTCCCCTACCTTACAAAAGGTTTACATACATTTTTTATTATAAAATAAAATATCGAAATTTGAACTAAGTATTTGTATTTGTCATACTTTGGAAAAAAATTAGGGCAAAATTTCATGCAAATCCGAGCACTAGAGATGCCCGAAAAAGGAGGGGCACATAGAGAAAAAAAAAAAACCTGCGAAATTTGTGTTTTCAGAAAAACAAGTTTTAAAGTTAAAATTGCGTTTTCATTTATGAAAGATGTCTATAAATGCAATGAAATTTGCACATAAAAAAGAACGATTCTTGTTGTAGTGGCCACTGCCACTGAAATACGCAGCGCCATGAGTGTCTTTCTCTGCTTTTTCGAGCAGACTCCTCACAGACATTTCGCTCAGACAGGGCCATGAAACGCTTGTCGAACTTCTTCCGCTCTATCTGGCAGAGCTTTGTGCCAATTGCCAGCTAGGAAGAAGTTCGACAGGACTGCGAAATCTAAGCCAAGTCCAGTGTCGATGGCATTTTGCGGCCACAATTGTGCCACATACTGTCGTACATAATGGCAATGTTGCCCCGCTAAGCTTCCTCACTGTGAGCTCCTTCGACCTCGCAATTGGCACTGACATCATCTTTTGTCGCATCACGAACTTTCTGGCTGATGGCTGTGAATGATGTTTGATGCATTGGCTTTTGCAAGCCAACAACAACTGCCGCAAATCGGACCAGCTGCTCGTAGCCAGTTCGTACCGAGCGCAGCGCCACAATGGCTTCTTTCATAACGGAGATAAATACACAAGAAAAGCATTGTTCAGCTGCGCTGCTTGACAAGACATGAACCCCACAAGAAGGCTTCACAGCACATACAGGCGGGCAGTGGCCAATGCCGGTCCCCGATCCGTACCACATGATAAACTTGTCGTGGCACTCGAAAAATGTGGAAAATCATGCTTCTTCCGCCGCATCAGCTAGGGAAACTGTCGTTATTTGAAGAGTGAGGCTCGACTTTTCGCCTCATGCAATTGACAATGGCGAGCGGCGGCGCATTATCGGTGGCAAGGTGCTCGAAGACTGCACACTTTGGGCCTTTTAACAGGCACCTTGTGCTATTGAGATGCAATTTTAAAGCAGTTCCAGTTGAGTCTCGACATGTTTTTTTTTTTTTCATGACAGTAGAGGCACTTATCAAAACAGGCGAAAATAAAAAAATTGGTAATTTTAAAGAAAACTCGCGTTTTTTTATGCGCATCTGCCATTACCAAAGAATACTTTTGTCATAAGTATTGTGTTAAAAATACGAATACACATTGATAACAAAATTTTGATATATCGAAGTACTTTTATGGCAGATGTAACTGTTATAAAGAGGCTTTAGTGTATTGAAATATTTAAAAACTACACCAGTGAGCACACTCAGGGAGACTGTCAAAAAAGTCAATCTGAAAAAAAAACAATTGTTAATCTGAGGTTGGCTACTACCAGATTTGACTATCAAGAATCAATTCACTAATCAGCCATTCGGTACACACAATGCAACAGACCTCACGAGACTTCTCTGCAGAGCTACAGGTTCTTACCGACAATGCCTTCTTTTGAAATGCAGTACCATTGCACAAACAATGTAGGGCAATTTCAATACCCTTAATGTCTGCTGACTAACCTTTCGTTGAAACAGCGCAACGCCATTTGCCACCATAATTTTTGTTTTTTCTGTGGCCACCTCCCAAAAATGCGGCATAATCATGATCACCATGCCAGTAAGATGAGTGCAATTATGATGCAACAAAAGAACATTACAAAATCAAATTTTGGCGAAAGTTTAGAGATACAATCATGTGAGTAAATCAGTAATGTTAAGTCGTTTGAGGAAGAAAATCCTTACCAGTCATCTGAAGAGGGTTCCCACCAGCGCCAAGGCCCTTTCCTATTCCCTGAAGCCCAGCTGTAAAATGACAACGGAGCTATTTTGTGAACTCATTTGACATGAGCGTGCTATGCATACATTTTCCTGCATATTTTTTTAACCATGTCTTATATGATGAAAAAAAAAAAAAAGCATCATACTGTGGAGAGCTGGCACAGAAAGTTCAAGGCAGTGATAGACAAACTAAAATCAAAGCTGAAAAATGCTAAGCAAGCTGAACAATAAGACGATCTTCCTAAGTACTAGATAATTAAGCCAGCATTTTTCTCATGAGATATGCATTAGAAATAGATTTTAACTGAACTAGCAACCAGCATAAGGCATGGCTACTGATCACTTTGGGTAGAGTGCACAAAGTCTGCCAGCCGCACTTCCACTGAAACACAAATCAATTGCAAGATGAAGAAACTTACTGGGAAGTTTTGATGGGAGTCCTCCATCAAGATCTTCATTGTATTTGTCCATGCGGACACTCATTGCCCGGTTGTACAACTTCTGACCGTTCAACATAGCTGAAAGTCGACAGTCAGGGAATAGTACTTCACAATCAAATTCAAAACGCAAGCCATGGACTGGCGAGTCCCCTACATTCAATATGTGACACTGCACAGGCACTCTTCATAAACAGCCAATGCCACGGATCTAGGCTTGGGCGAATATTTGAAGGAATAGTACAGTACTTGAATTCACTTAGACTGAAATTTAAGCTATTGAAAATTTCGAAGTATTTAAAATGAACGAATAGGTGTATATATAGTTGTAACCTCCTGTAAAAGTGGTTTCACTGCAATGCAGCGGTGCCAAGCCGTGAAAGACCTGCCCAAAAAATCCCGCACTGCTCCGAAGCCCCACTGAACATAATCCCCTCACACACATTCATCAACAGATTCATCATTTTTCAAGTTTAAAATGATGTTATACTGGTTTATATGCTCCAAGTACAGTTGTATATAGGTCTATATAGGTCTGGCAGAAAGCATGATGATGCTGACTGCTTATCACGTCCACCAGTCCACTAGACTCTTTCAGAAGAAGAGGACTTCCCACTCCTTTGTGTGATAAAAACCTCAGGAATCGCTGAACATCAACGGGCTGACATGGAACTGCTCCCATTAATAAAGTATCTCGAAGGGCACGACGAAGAAGTTCCTCGCGTATTTAAGGGAGGGTTATCCTCATTCTGCCTGCGAGATAATGCACTTTACAACAGGAATTTCGAACACAACAAGGAGAAGTTCTTACTCGTTGTACCATCAGCCATGAGGCATAAAAGCCTGCCATGATGCGGGTAACTTGGGCGCAAGTCGAACTTTCGCCAAAATTCATCAGAAATACTACTGGCCCAAGTTGCTAGCGTCCGTGAAGCATTACGTCAAGACATGTCGCGAGTGTCGAAGGCGAAAACACCACCCCTCAAGACAGCCGGCCTTCTCAAGCCTATAGAGCCACCTGCGACTCCATTTCAACAGGTTGGAATGGACTTCCTCGGACAGTTTCTAATGTCGGCATCAGGGAAAAGGTGGGTAATAGTTGCGACTGACTATTTGACACGATACGCTGAAACCGGCTGCCTTGAGCGAGGAACGGCAACGGAAGTCGCGAAGTTTTCCTTTAGAATATTGTTTTTCGCCATGGAGCCCCACTCGTCGTGATTACCGATCGAGGAGCAGCATTCACGGCTGATTTGATGCAGTCCTTAATGACAATGACTAACACCAGCCATAGGAAGACCACTGCATACTATCCCCAGACCAACGGGTTGACAGAACGCCTGAACCGCACCATCGCTGACATGCTGTCGATATACGTTGACATTTCGCCTACAATATGGCAGTGCAGGAGACCATCCGCGTCACACCATTTCAGCTGGTCTACGGTCGCACTGTCACTACGACACTTGATGCCATGTTAATTGCCAGTAGACAACGACAATTACGAGCCATCTGAACTTGACGACTTTCTGCAAAGGGCTGTAGAAGCACGCCAGTTGGCACGACATCGAATACATCAACAGCAAAACAAGGACGCAAGCCATTACAACCTGCACCGCAGAAAAGTTCAGTACAACCCAGGCGAGCGAGTGTGGATATGGACACCACTCCGACGTCGCGGCCTATCAGAAAAGCTTCTTTGTCGATACTTTGGCCCCTATAAGGTTCTCCGACGAATTAGTGACCTAAACTACGAAGTCATTGCCGATGGACACATCTGTTCAAAGCGGCAAAACAATGCAGAAGTCGTACACGTCGTTCGTATGAAGCCGTATTATGAGAAGGAATGAAAGCGCTCCCTTTTTCTGTTTGCCTCCCTCCATCGCGCATTGGGACGATGCGTATTTCGAAGGGGAACTAATGTCACAGAGACTGTTTACAATAGCCGACATTATGCGGAATCAGCGTCCACAGTCTTGTGCGCACTCTTGCTTGGGGCCGCACGACTCATGCCTTTGTTCACAGGCACCAGCCAGTGTGGGTTGGAGCTGCGAAGAAGAAGGGGCGTGGGCAGATGAAGCTTTTGTTTTGGAACGCTCTAGCGGACTCTTCCATCTTTTCGCACATAATTTTCAGGGCACAAGTTCGCCCATAATAAACTAGTTTTTGACTTTTCCTCTCTTGCACCCGTTACAATATAATTAAGTGAACAGTGAAGTATAGCGCAATGAACTTCTTTAAAGGTTTTTTTTTTTCGGGCCCCATGCTCAATTTTTTTCAATACTATTTGAAAGCATGATTTAATTATTGAATAAAAACACCACTCATTCGAATTTGCTACCATGGCCCGATATGTGTCACCCCTTGCGATTTTTCTGGATTAACGCCACTGAGTAGCATACTAGGATGATAGAGTATACAGCTTGCTTTTGGTTAGCGTCACTGGATATTCCCATAGTTCAACTTCATTCTTTTTAGTTGGCCAACATCCTTGCAGGGCAGGTTTCGAACAATGACTAGCAAATATTGCACTTTGGAGCAGCTTTCTCTTTTGGAGCAGTTTGGAGCTACATTTCATCACTGCATATGCAAACCTGGAAGTGTCCTTTAGCACTCTCTTCGCCGCCTTTCCGTCTTCCCCGGGAATCTTTTCTTAGCCTTTTTCAAGCGCAGTGAATCTTTATCGGCTGCCCGTTGAATGGCCAGATGCCCCATTTCTCGAAATTTCCGCTCCGTCGCTGGCATAGCGCCGAGTTCTCTTTGAACAGCAGCGCGTTGTTGATCCGCCGCCTTTTTCTTTGCACGTCAGAAAACGTGTTCGCAAGTGCACAGTTGATGACGCTAACAACTCACGGAGGCCGATGAAAGAGGATCTGGAAGCCCCCGTCGATGAGCGCGAGATACCAGGCGCACCCGCAACGAAAAATTTTCACACCGCTGTAGCTGGAGTTCTGTGTCTAGGCCTGTCGATGCAACCACTCTCCAGCGTAGATGAAGCTGCTCCACATGTACTGTCAGCGCACGTGTGAGCGGCGAGCCTTGCCACGCGGACAACCTTCATAGATTGCTTCCTTTCACCGAACACTTGTGTCTTCCTTTACGTTGGATGCATTGTGAGCGAATGCAACAATGGTCTCGTAAAGACAGTTGAAAATCATCTTGTTAAGACATTTGAAAATCATTTCGTAAAAACGGCTGAAACGCAGACAGTATGCGAACGTCTGCAAACATAGACGATAGCGAGCGGGACAGAGGAGCAGCAGCCAATCGCAGTCGCAGGGTCCCTCTTGTCCCTTGAGGAGCGCGCGCATCACCTAATCCCGGCGCGCATCTCTGCAGCAGGAAACTTCAAAGCTCCCGCGAGCCCTCTAATCATGAGCAGCTTGCTCCTCTCCTGCGTTGCCACCGTCGCCGCGGGTGGCAAGAAAAGAAAGTGAAAGAATTCACAAACGAAACGACACCAACAAGGTGGAGCTCCGTCAAGCGGTCGGGAAACTGCAATTGCACCAAGTTGGGCTATTTTGAGTGCTCCCGTGTCGCTCGAGGGCTGCGGTGGCTTGTATACTTCATTTCAAACAGTTTCGCGATGAGTTAGACACTGGTATTTACAAGAAAGGCAGTTTATGACATGTACTGCCCGAATATGTGGCTTCCCGTGAATCTACTTTTTCGAGATTTTTTTGTTTTCAAAGGTTGCGTCCTCCCACTGAAGTATCTAGGCTTGCATGCTTTTTGCATTTTAGGTCAGTCCTTCTTTAGTAAACCGTCACGTCTACCGATCAATGTTGGACAGAAATTTGAAGTATTACACAGTTTACGATACAATACCTCAATTTTTACGCGTCCATACACAGAAGAGCAGGTAAAAGACTAACACATGTCGAAAGCGTAATGTGTTGAGTGTCGGCATGAACTGCATTCCACCGTCACACTATGGCATCGACCTCACGCACTGCCACTGCCTGCAACTTGCGCTTCCTTGAATAAGTCTCGCTCCGTGAATCTGCCGGTAGCACCTGAATACATGATAGATCAAGTAGAGCTGCTTACACCGCTCTCAGATGGTGCTCTAATTTGAATAATCTTTGGTCATTTTGTAACAATCATACAGGTTGCATCCCATGCAGATGAAATTTTTTCAGCACCAGCACAATAAATTTTATGCATAATGAAAATAACGAGAATCACGAAAAAATTCAATCCAGTGATGCATTGCAAAATAAGGATACAGATTGCTTGGACAGCTTCAATGGGGTGTTCAAACTCAACAATTCCGTGGCCCTTGCTGTTCCCTTCCTTATCAGTCCTGAGGTCTACGTTTGAAACACGGCCTGCAATCCTGAACACCTCCTGAAGCTTTTTCGCAGTCACCTTGTAATCAAGCTGAAAAAATGAAGATTATTTGCAATTAAGTAATTCCAACACACCACTGTGGCAAGTCATCTTTAAGTTGTGAGTACAATGTTCATTCAAACTTTAAAAGATGCACATTAATTCAGCCACATAAAGACTTTTTAAATTAAATTAGCGTCCACCAAACATGTTCCCTGAGACTGTAAAGTTAGCAGGGGTCACTTACATTGGCCACAAACACTCTGTTTGAGAGGGGTCCCACAATTCCGAGAGAGTCGAGGAATTGGGGGCTCAGTCCGTAAGTGTTGAAACCTACGCCGCCACCGCCACCACCTCCGCGGCCATATCCGTCACGGTCATCACGTCCGCGGTCATCCATCATGCGATCACCACCAGATCGTCCCCGCGGAATCGGGCGACCGAAGCGGTCACGTTCAACGTCAAAATCCTGCATAATGAACAGTAAGTAGCGGTTAGAAAAAGGCAAGCAAATGCTTATTAAATCGCAGTGCTGGATGGTAGGCAGAAATGACAGACAACAGTACATTTGACACTGTATTTACTCACATAATCCTTGCACTTCTTTTTTCTCGCAGAAAACCGATGCAAAGTTAGAGGGGTGCAAGAATTTCACAACAAAAATTTCTCGCTAATGAGCTTGAGTGGGGAAAAAAAATAATGAAGTGCCCGCAAATCCGGATTCTTATGCTAGCAACTTCTCAAGCTATGAGAAGTACTATTCAAGACTTACCTTAATCAAACTGCAGGTTCAGCACAAGGTAAGATTTATTTGAGACACAAAAGCTGCAAGCAAATAGTAGACAGCTTTGGAATACTGTATGTCATGTACCTTTGCGAGCATAGTGTTAGCATTCGTCCCTGGAGTCTGCAAAAGGTTAGCGTATAACGTCAACCTTGGGCTGTTGGCTGTCTAACACGAAATCTGCAGTTACCTCTTGACGAAATAAGTTTTACCGTTCATCCTGGTCTTAAACACACCAAACGACCAGTGCATCTTGGTGGCTTTCATTTGCCCTTTGTGAACAATAGTAAACACAAAACTCGTCTCCAATGCGCCTACTAGCGGGTCCTTTTGCCATTGTTCAGTGCATGATCAATCACTTTCAACTTGAAAACAGCCGTGTAATCACCCCATAATGCACAGAACAGACACAATGTACACCAACACACTGCAACGCACACAAGACTGGCTTGGCTCCGATTGGGGCTCTGTACATAGATAGTATGCATAATGCTTTAGAGATAGCGCCAGGCTGTTGTTGGGCATTTTTGTTGGGCAATGTGGGGCGTGCGAGGATTACTTGAGTAAACACGATATATCACTAATAGTCAAAACCTAATATACAGACTGCTGACCTGTCACAATGAACCTTTTTCGTAACTTTAAATCTAGCTTTCATGCTCTGGTGTTTGCCGAACTAATGGCAGCTAGCCACTTGCAACAAACAGCGTAATCATGCTCAGTTTGCATAATAGACAAGCCTCAGCTTGTGCAACCAGGACCTCATCCCCGCTTGTACCAATTACGAATTACGCAATTACGAATGCCACAATTAGGGTGAATATGCAACTAAGGGAAGCTCATTTGCAGATTGTATTGATTGATATGCGGGGCCCCAAAAACACCATATGATTATGAGATACGCCCTAGTGGAGGACTATGGAAATTTCGACCACCTGGAGTTCTTTAATGTGCGACCAAATCTGAGCACAAGGGCCTACAGCACTTCACCTCCATCAAAAAGCACCCGTCGCCGCCAAGATTTGATCAGGCGACCTGCGGGTCAACACTGCGTACCTTAGCTACTAGACTATCATGGCGGGGCACTTGCAGACTATAAAAATGTTCTATACAATTATACATAGGCAATAGTACGTGGGGTTTTACATGCCGATACCACAATTACGAGGCACGTCGAAATGAAGGGCTTCGAAAATTTTGACAATCTCGTGTTTACAGCGCGCTAATATAACCCGGTACACGGGCCTTGAGCATTTTACCTCCCATCGAATACAATCATACATTGACTTTTTCAGCAAGTTAGAAGGCATGGTTCGAAGATATTCAAGTTTTGAAGCTGGTGCATGAAACACCGATGATCAGAGCAAGCCAACTCAATCATTCAATACAAAGCGTTCAAATGTGCCGCTCTTACCTCCTTGACCACGAGAAATCGGCCCTTCATCTCGTATCTGTGAAGCACTTCAATTGCCTTTGGCACCGACGCTTTGTCCTTGAGTTCCACAATCCTGCATTAAAAAAAAAAAGGGGGGGGGGGGGGCACTGAACATGTAGGCACATCACATGATATGGACTAAAATCAGAGGAAGATGGGCGACAGTGCATGTGCACAAATAGAACAACTGATGCCTCTAGTAATGCCCTGCCTGCTGCATTGATTTTTCTTTGCCAGCAGAGGCAAAGAAACTTCAACTGGTTCGTTCTATAATGACATTTCTAAAAGTGTTGGCACACGAATTCGCAACTTCCAGATAGGCAGCCACACACCGCAATTACTGCAACACCACAGTACACACAAACACACACAAGTGCAAGAAAGGAGCAGAACATTATGGGATAAAAGCACTAGTCCAAGGGTACACATAACTTGCATGAGCCTATCCTAGAGCAATTAGCATCGCCACTTAGCTGGCACTTATGGCATGTTGAGCTGGCTGTAAAGACTTCTCAATTAGCACCATAGCAAGACAGTAGCAGCAAGGAAATGAACCGATAACCTCACCCTCAGCGGAATTCTACAGCCTAAGTCTTCGGAAGCATAGCTAACGAGGATCGAAGCTATACAAAGCAGTACTCACCCACATCCCCGGAACTTGCCAGTCTCATCTTCAAACAGCTCGACGTAGGAGACATCACCAACTGAGAAAAGGAAAGAAAAGCCGCCAACTCTATAATGACAATGCAACAAGTGTGGGCACACGAACTCGCAACTTCCAGATAGGCAGCCAGGCACCGCAATTACAGACACCACAGTACAAACACATGGGTAATCACTCTCATACTCATGCCTTTGAAACAAGCGAGTGCTTTCATGAGCAAAAACAGCCCACTATAAGAATCCCAGCGTGAGTGTCAGAAGCACTCACACTGGTGCTCAGTCATGGTGGCAAAAGCTACGTGCTACACAACGCTAGTGATTAACCCCACACAATTTAAAATTTATGAAAAATAAACATGTGAATTACCAAAATTAGGATAAATGAGATTTGCAAGGCATATTCACGTGAAGTAAGCACTTCTGAGAATTACGCCACTTTCAAAGTATGCAGCTCCTCGAAATGATTCTCAAGTTTTTTCAGCTTCAACTGAAATATTTCAATATTAGAACAAGTACATGTTACTGTAAATGAAACAGTTACCTCAGCCCTGATGCCAGTTTTATAATTTCGGCTACTTGTAGCATGACTGGATCACTTGCACTAGGAATTATAAAGTAGAACAGTGATATGCAGTCAAAAATGCATCTTGAAGTTTCCTGTAGGTGTCCCTTTTAGATTAATCTAGCTAGATCAGTATATTTGTGATATATGCAGTAACATGCAATCCTGGCATGGCTGACGATCAAATCTGACGAATTCCAACTAAAGTAACGCAAGGTTCAGAATTGTAGGGAACCAACATTAATCCCCTTCAGACACGATACACACTTGGATCTTATTTCTCTGCATATGGCTGCCACAAATGTAATTGCGCAAATATGCACCCTGTTTTAATGCAGTTGGTTAATACAAAACAGCCGCACCTTTATCCCGAAACAGGTCCTTGATGTCAGTCCATTTGCAATCAAAAGGCACGTTGGCAACGTACACACGCCGGTCAGAAGGTGCACGAGACCTCTGCCTGTCAGGCCGAGAGTCCGACCTTCGTCGGTTGCGGCTTGAATCGCGGTCCCTGTCATAGTCTACTGGCGACCGAGAACGTGACCTGTAGTAACTGCTGCAAAAAAAAAAGAAGCACACAATCTATAAACTTTCGTACTCAAAGGAAGTAACATGCACATGTGATTCTTGATTTTCTATCCCTGCATTTCGAGGTGCCCCGCATTGTCAAAGCGGCTCAAGATTACCGCTTGCTACTGTGGCGAATACCTCCTCATGGTCCAACGACTGCCATTGAAAAGAAAAAAAAAAAAGTGTTGGGTGTGTTGTACTACTTGATTTCTCTATTTCTCAATTGAACTGAGGTCCATTGTTAAGTACCCTTTCATAGAGCAAGGTTGCTTACACTAGGTTGATTGAAACGTCTCCCTTAAAAGTCTCGAAATTACTTTTATGAATATTTTGTCCACACCAGAAGCAAGCTCATCAATTTATATATAGGAGGTAGTATCGTGAAGTCATCTGCAAGGAGCATCAGTGAGGCTGTTGCAAGCACGTGTGATGATTTTTCTTAGAAAACAGGTTTTGAGGAGCAGCACCACCAAACATCAGGCTGTCGTAGGTCTGATTGCTAACGACCACGGCTATGGTGGTGCACTCCCTGACGGGAAGAGCTCAGTGAATACCTTCTATAGTTCTCAGAGTATTTTAAGCCTGCCTCTCTTCTTGTGGGTTAATGTTATCTGGAGTGTGTAGTCACGAGAGTCAAATATAAAATCAACTTTTTCATCAAGACTGCTGCTATTGTCTTATACAGCTGCTTTGCTATGAGGCAGGCCTTGTAGAGTTCTTATACCTTAAAGAGGCACTGACACAAAAACTTTGGCCCCTTGTTTTTTTGCTGCAATGTGTTGCTGGGGGCCTGTTAGACATAACATGACACACCGTTTGCTGTGGCACATGACAGATAATTACAGGCCTTTCATTATCAACCCGTTTCAGTTTCGGTTTGAGAGATCCCCAGAAAAGAAGCCACCGGGTGGAACTATCGCCACCTAGCGTGTGCAGCTCCGACCATGTCAGCACACAGAACTGTGACACATTTCGGCACGGTCCACATCAAGAATTACCTTCAAATAAAAAACGGGACTGCAGTGTCACCAAACAAAACTTTCAAAGCGTTCGCTACAGCTGCGCACTCACGACCAGCCGTTGAGAATTATAGACTGCAGGAACAAGCATCAGCATAACTTGTTTTATTGACTGCAGTGAGGTGACATGAGGGAAGCAGGGGTCCCCAAAGGGTCTCCTTCGAAGGTGTCAATGGCACGATAATGTGGAGCACTCACGCAAACTTAAAAATTAATTCAAAATACCTTCCAAGCTATATTCACTGTTGATATTTTGAAAACAATATATGTATGTTTTTGGGAATCCATCCTGCAGGCTATCTCTGCCGCGAAATTTTGTGTCAGTACCCCTTTATTGATGATGGGTTGACTGCATATTTCACTTTCAGTATTAAATAATTAGTCTGGGAAAAATTTCTTTGGACAAACAAAATAGACCAATAATTGGTGCTGGCTAACAACATAGGCAGTTATTTTGTAGGTGCACAAGTATATATGTGCAAGAAGGTGCATGCCTTTCGACCACGTCCCTCTACTTGCAAGATGCATCATGCAACAATGTGTGCCCTGCTGGACCAAGTGATGTGCGACGTACCTATGTCCCGTGAAGGGCTTTACGTTGGGCACTGGGTCAACGACTAGCTGCCAGAGCACAAGAACAACCCCAAGGCCAAAACCATACTAGTAGCGATTTGGCTATTGTGTGCCGACTGTGGCTGCAAACCCGATTTCGATCAGACTCCCACCTAGAGCAGATATCACGATAGCCATGCCCAAAAACTTTACAAAGCACTTGCAATTAATTCCATTGGGCCATCATGTGTAATAAATGCACTATGGGTCATACTAACCTACAAAGAAAATTGATTATCTTTTCACATGATCATTGCATCGTCATGTAGTAGTAGGGACGCATGCATTAAGCTGCCCCCCTACTCTTTTTATTCAGTTTTCCTAGAAGCATATATATTTGCACACCTATGAAATAAAGGCTCATGTTGTTAGCCAGCATCAAGTCATGTCAGTCTTTTTTTGTCCCACAAATCTGAGCAGTTCCTTGCTTTATTATGAAGCCAAGAACACGAGCTCAAGTTTGTACGTTTACAAAAGTAGTCCAAGGCTGTGGGTCCAGTAATAGTTTCCACAGTTTGAAACGAAATTAAAGAAAATGAGACTGAAGACATAATGGAACTATGCAGATCAGCACAATTATGAGAATATAAGATATAGAACATTTAAGCCTTATAAGCTGACCCACTAAGCTGACAAAGTTGTGTAAATTTTAGTTCCTGAAAAAAAATTACACGGCAAACATGCAGGTATGAAGGGAACAGCCAAACGACAAATTAAAAAGTAAAATTAAACACTGGAAAACTCGGCAAAAGAAGCTACCCTGATGAGCTAAAAAATTGTCTTGCACGAGGAAGAAAACATTGTGGCTTTACTTAAAAAAAATAAAGAACAGTTGTCTTAATCAGTCATTATCAGCTATTAGCGTTTACGCCTTGTCAGCGAGTTAAGGCATCGGTCGACTCGTTTCCCGGCAACAGCTCAAATTGTGACGTCAAGCACAATCCGTGGTCGGCAACTTGGCGCAGTCTCCAATTCTTCGACGTAGGTTTAACGAAACGTTTACGGCGCAATTCGAGAAGCTGGTAAAAGGCAGCAAGGAGAAGACAGGATAGCACGCATTCTTTTCCCATCAATTCTCAGTTCGCACCGCGAATACTTCGTTAGGCCACGCTGTGGTTAAGCGATTCCCCAATTCAAACAACGCAATAGTTTACGTCGGCAAACCTCGACCTTGAACAGTTCGTCCACAAGACGAGCGATGCAAACAACAAGCAAAGGCGTTCGCTGAAAATCTGTGCATGGCAACCATGGCTGCATTTCAAGGCGTCATCGGTGCGGCAATAAAGAACGCCCCGATTCGCGCGAAACAAGGAACTTCCCGACATCACGTTTCGTTTTATTGGTTTTCCTCCGCATCGAAACGAAACGAATGGAAGGCGATGCAGGCGAACAGGGCGAGCGCCACGAACGCTCCTGACGAGTGCGTAACAAGCTCACGAGCCACGTTTTCAAAAAGCTTCGAAGAGCCTAACAAACTTCTCAAGAACCCCGCAGGATGCGACACGTCAGCGCTGCTACATGCGTTCTCCGCGAGTGGCCAATGATTTAAACGCTCGTATTTCACTCATCGCGACGTCAGCGCACGAAAAAACGGCAAGGTTCCAGCGCACACAGATGGCCTTAAAATGGCGCCACGTTTTCCCATTGTTCCATCGGAAAGCCTTCAACACGAGTGCCGGCGGAACCGGTCTGAATCCAACAAAAAGAAAAATCGAACGGCCTTAATTACACAACTCAAACGTAACCCGGCGTAACAAGCTTAACAAGTACGGCCAGTCCGAGCAATGCGACAGGAGAAATGCGGCATATTCAATAAATACCGGTTCATTTTCGGTGCAGCTTCGCTGGGAGCCGGCATCAGCGGGTAGGACTAACGATAAAAGTCGAACTGCGCGTGCGCACAAGGGGTCGCTCGTGAGAGGCGCCAAGACCAGAGAACAAACCTCGCTCAATTCACGTAAAAATTAATTGGTTACAAGACGCCTAAATAAAAACCAAAGAACGCGAGAAGCAGCTTAGACTATTCCGGCAATCGCGGAAGCATCACCTGTTTTGCTCACAGGCAGGTTATTACGATTCTTTGCATTCCAAAAACTGCGGTCTCGGGGCAATGTGCGGCATTTGTACTTATATATGATGAATCACTACGCCAACGCAACGAGCAATTGTACGCGTTCAGAAATAATTTCGAGCGACGAGTTTTATCACAAAACAAGGGAAGCGGACATGATGCTGCTCCAAATAGTGGCGCGCACAGTACAAATAACACAGACACACACTCACCCCCTGCCATTTTCGCCAGAGCCGTTCTGATTCATGTTGTGCGTCACTTCACTGTTTTCACTAACGAGAACCAAGTATTAAATACTGCAACGCAGCGCGTATAATCGAACAAGTCTTCGGTGACCAACAGCAAGAGCGAATCCGCGCTGCCGATATCACCACAGAACACCTTCCAATCAACAAATTCTACAAATGTCGCAACTGGCGGCGAAAGCCGTGGAAGTGAGAAGACACAGCCGCTTAGTTGCGCACACAATAAACACAAAGCAACAATAAAGTAAAAAAAAACAAAATGCAGCATACTACAATTAATAAACGGCACTTAAAATTTAAAATGCACCTTAAAACAAAAAAACATTAGTAATTTTTTACACATAAATATTTTTTTCACACTTGATTTTTTACAACAGCCCAGACGAGCTGAATAACTGCCAGGTGTAGCCATAGCCGGGTAGACGAACTTCGCCGCAAAATGGAAGTGGTGAAAGTACATACGCGCGCGCTGTTTGCGATGAATGCACGTTTTTACGCTTGTATATTTTCGCCCTTCAGAAGAAGAAGCTCGACGTCAACTATTTTCGCGCTTGCGTCAGGTTCGGTTAGGTGTGCCATAGCTGCAATCAGGGTCTCCGGTCCGCATACTGCAACTGTGCTTCGTCGCATCGCCAAACTGGAGCAGCCGACACCACGAAAAGCTATTCTGCGCAAACTCGTGCACCCTTGCTCGGGAATCCATCTCGACACTGCTATTGTGTTGTGGTTTCCATGTACGAACCGTAGCCTATCATCACTGCACGTTGTCGCCTTTGATCGATGCGGCAGATAGATTGCGTCGTTTTGTACAATACGCCTTTTACTTTCTTTTTTTTTTTGTGCTGTCCTCTGTCGATTTGGTAGAGGACAGGACAACGAGTATGACAATTACTAAAGCCCCCGAGATCATAAGGCGTTTCTTTAGGGGAAGTAATTAGGACGAGACGGGAACATAAAACATCAAATTTGTTGCCCAATGCCTACTTCCCTTTCATCTTGCTTTGCCTGTGCGTATTTGACCTTCCCCCTACTGTAGCCATCTCACGTCCATCGGTACAGTGCTCGTAGACGCACGACACTAAGCATATTCTCTTGCTGTTGAGCTTTGCACATAGCTGGAGGGTTCATATTTTAGAGCAAATAAAGATTGTATCGCCAGTCCGCTATTATCGTCTCGTTCATGTTCCTTTCGCGCAACTTTCGGACGGAATTAAGGACGGTACTATTTCCTTTAGGTATGTAAAAGCAATAAGGAAAAGGCAGAATGAAGAAATAGGAACAGGCAGTTCCTTAATGACCTATTTTCTGTTGGCATCGTAAATAGCTAAAGAAAAACCAAACAAGTTGAGTTTTTGCTCCATTACAGTAAAATGACTGCAGTTATTAGGCATTGAAGTAAAAAAAGTTTAGCTAACTGTGGAGCAAAATTTTCACCCCAGTGGGTCTAGCCAATTGATGTCGAGTTTCGTTGCATCTGTTGTGGACCAAATGAAGTAGTTTCACTCACTTCAAAAACGATGTTTGCAGGTGCAGAAGAATGAAGCATCACTGAAGTCATAACATATAGTGTTGGAAAATGATGCACAAATTAAAAAAGAAAGCCAGTTATTTTATTGTTCATTCACCATCTTCAGAGTTTTTCTTTTTGCTGTGGAGGATTATAAACCACATTGCTTGGCAAGCAACATTGCTGAAATACGATGATTGGCCAGTCATGAGATGCAAAATTCTGGACAAGCAGTTTAGGCACTACAGCTAAATGACCAAATCAATATTTTTTCTGAGAGCAGGACAAAAGTGTTGTAGTCGCATTCAAGATTATGTTATTTATATTGCTGAAGCAATTTGTTAAACTAAGCAGGTTTTGAAAAATTGAATTGGAAATATTACTGTCTATAGTAAAAAGCTGCGTTTCGAATACACTAAACAGCACTGCTGCACCATGCTTGATAAAAAAAAGCCTTAAAGTTAGAAGCCTTGCAGTAACTGTTGTTATTGTGGTGCATAGCTCTTACAGAACTGCATATTGACTGACTGTGTCCAATAGAAAGAATAAACCTCTTCAGCAAGACTGTGTTGCTCTTGTTGGGTGGTGCCAGATAGCTTGAGATATCAAAATACTAAAACTTGTGCAGCTGCTTTCTTTTCCATAAATTCATGCCAATGTGACAGTAGTTGGGAGCCATGGTCATGATTCCTGTAATGTCGGTAACATGTCATTGATGAAGCACTTTATAAGGGAATTCATTACTGTCTTGCAACCAGTCAGCCATGGTTATATTGCACAAAAACTATAAGGTAGTTAAGTTATTATCTGCAAATTATGCAAATATTATGCAATTATGCAAATATCTGCAAATTGTGAAGATGTTCACAAAGTTTTAAAATGAATAAATTTCAAGTAAGGCTCTAAAAAAAGTACAAGTTTGCATTTCTATTACACAGTTCAAGAAATGAATGTCTCTGTGGTTCGGGATTCATAGAAAATGTAAATTTCCGCTGTGATAATGTGTAGCCTTTTTAATTTATTGGACGATTGTGTAGCTTGCAAAACCTATGATGGGTAAAAAATTTTCATTAGAGGTCATTTCCTCAAGTTTTTTCAGATGTCTCATGTCCTGGGCACTTCACTCTACCTGATGTCACATGCAGTACACATTTACTTCATGTTCTTGTGCAGCACCTGGCAGTTACACTGGTGAAGACTGTTGTGAGCTGCATGTCCATGGAGGCATAGGAGTTGTAAGTGCAGTAATGGCTGCATTGTCACGTGTCGATGGCGTGCGGCAAGCAGAGCCAGGAGAGTTCACCAAGAGGTAGTATAAATCAACACCATGCTACCCTTAAAGTACGGACGAGACCACACCCTTCTCACCGTCATATTAGTCTTTATTTTCAGGGCATTCATGAATGGCAAAATGGACCTAGCAGAAGTTGAAGGCTTGTCCGATTTGCTAAAGGCTGAGACAGAAGCTCAGAGGGTGCAGGCATTGGCGCAGATGGAAGGAAGCCTCAGCACGCTCTACAGGAAATGGACGAATGACCTCAAGATGGTAATAATGTGATCATGGTGTGAGAACGAGTCTTCTTTAGATTGTTGGGCCCGGGAACGACAGTCAGTGCTTTTGATCAGGCCCTCGAGTTGGTGTGCTGTGATCCAAACGGCCTTTTACTTGCTGCGTCAGTGAAATTTATTCTGACAGCACTCCTAAGTGAGAACATTATCAAGGTGAACATCCAAGAAACACAGTTAAAAAAAAAGACAGGTCAAGAAAGAGCACATAATTGATTGTCACTAGGCTTTAATGCTGAAGCTAACTAGCATAGGTCTCAATGGCCAGTAATCGTAGCTCTTGTTTGGGAAGAGCCACAGCTTCAACTGATCTTGTAACTGGAGCATTATGAGGCTGTTGTGTCCTCATGTGTGGAAATTTCTAAAACCTACTATTGTGTTACAAGTGCTATTTCATGTTGAATTCTTCCCAATTTCTTGCTCCACTTTATTTCGCCATCTTTCACGCCTTTCAGTGCCTTGCAAATGTCGAAGCCTTTATCGACTTCAGCGAGGACCAGGGAATTGAAGAAGCCATACTGGATTCTGGTATTACGCGAAGCCAACTACGTGCAAGGGCTTCATATCTAAATCGAAAGGTCATTGCAGCTGCAGTACAGGCTGAGAGACTCGCTACAGAGATCCAGATTTACCTGGTGGATGGCCGGCGTGGTGAGAGGCTACGAGACGGTGTGAAGGTTGCGATTGTTGGCCGGACCAACGTTGGAAAGAGCAGCTTGTTCAATGCGTTATGTAAGTGGAGTCTAACTCTTTTATTTGGTCAATTTTTGCTTTGTTTCTCACAGCGTTCAAGCTTATATTATTAAATTGTCACACCCATGAACGTCAGACAGTATTTGCCATATCTTCGCTAACTAATCTTTAATATGTATTTCTGTATTAAATAATCTGTCATAACACCCCATGTTGCTGCTCCCATTATTTTGAATGCATTTATACATGTTTTTTGCTATGTTGGTCTTGATTTTGTTTTACCTTTATGAATTTTATAACAAAAGGTCTTATTGCAGAGTTCACATTAAGGGAACTCTATATGTATATTCTTGCCTATATGTGCCCCCATCCCCCCCCAACCTTTGCACATTCAATAAACTGAAATAGTAGGTCATAATTGCGACAGCCATTAAAATGTTCAAACAAGCATTAGGACTATATGGAAACCATACAATAGGCGTCAATACATCAGTCATGATGTATTGTAGTACACAGTCTGTTAATAAAAATTAAATAGTAATAAATTAGTTTGTGTATGCAAACTTTGCTAGCGACAGCCAAGACTGTGGCTGTTGCACATACATCTGGCACTGAATACACAGATGTAAATAAACAGTGCTGCTCATTGCTCTCGGTAAAATATTGCCTGAACACTTAAGACTTGCATTCTTTATGTTTTACAATGAACAGGCCAGAGAGATGCAGCCATAGTATCGCCCATTGCTGGAACAACCAGAGATGTCGTTGAGAGCACGTTGGACATTGGTGGCTACCCTGCTGTATTCTCCGACACCGCAGGCCTTCGGCACAGCGACGACCCGATTGAACGTGAAGGAATTCTGCGTGCTCAGCGCTGGTACGAACAGCTAGAATTAGGGGAGTGCAAATATTGGAAACGTCAAATATTTTTCTAATAGTGTTTGCTATTTGATTAGCACTGGAATGTTACTATTCGAACTTCCTGAAGAGAAATATGGCCAACATCCAATTGGCAATAGCTCCTTCATATATGCTTCACTTTAACAGGCTATTGTATTGTGGCAAAGCTGCCTTTCAGGCTGTGAAACAGTTGCAAATGTATTGACTCGAGAAAACACTGGTTTCAACATAGAAATGATAGGTGTAGCAAAATTGGGGGATCAATTAATGTTGTTTTGAACCTGAAATTTGGACAGAAAATTCAAAATATTGGATGCCAAAGTTTTTTAGCGTACCAAACTTCAGATGTTCTTATATATTGACTTCTACGAGGCAGATTTCGAACTCTAGACTTGGAGGGAGCACACCCTTGTTTCCCACATCAGTTGGACTTCCACAGAAGTTGAGTGAAGAGGCTGAGCAAATAGCATCTTTGCCTTTCACACTTATGGCAACGCTTTGGTTGCACTAAAATATTTAACATAAATATTGCTACGTGCCAGTGCATGGAGATGAAGAAGACAAAGCAGATAGACTGGCGTAAGCTAATCTCTGTGGCTGGTGCTGCTCGTTTGACCGGCTCTAAATACATCCGTGACTACTCCTCCGAGTTGGTCTCCTTCTTGTAACATATTTGGTGGAGTTGTGCGATCCCAGTCCTCGCCACGGAACTTCGAAGCAGGACGCTCCCTCCCGGCTTTCAACATGACTACTAAAGACTCGGCTACATCTACTCCGGTCGCCCGCCCTTCTGCCCGGCCTGCCAACCCAGCGCCCGCAACAACTTTCGTGATGCTTCCCACCTCAAGGACACTGGTGTGTTCTCAGGCCACGAGGGTTCCGACATCGACCAGTGGCTACGCCCTACGAATGCGTCAGCGCCACTTAAAGGTGGGATCCCACATTATGCTCGCGAAACGTCATCTTTTATCTCGATGGAATCCCTCGGAACAACCATGAACATGACATTACAAGCTGAGAAAGCTTCAAGGAACAGATCCCTAGAGCTTTCTGGGAGCCCCTTTCGTCGTCATCAAGCTGCGAAAGAATGAGTTGTCAACTCGCGACTCAAACTTCCACGGAGCCCTACATCATTTACATTCAGGCTGTCCTCGCACTATGCCGCCAAGCTGACGAAAACATGTCCGAGCCTGACAAAATTGTGCATATTCTAAAGGGTATCACCGATGATGCGTTCAACTTGCTGGTATTCAACAATGTGTCATCTGTTGATGCCATTATTCAAGAATGCCGCCGGTTACAACAAGCTAAAAGCAGGCGCTTCTCTCATCAGTTCCAGCGCCTTCCGAACACTGCTGTGACGTCCTCGTGTCTAGACACATATCATCCACCAGACACGTGTGACAACTTGACACAAATCGTCAGGTGGGAACTTGAAGCGGTTGCTCCAGCTCAGGTGGGGCCAATGTCCCCTGACCCCTCTCCTCCAATTACGTTGCGCCACATTCAAGCAGTCGTCCGGCAGGAAATCACCAGCCTGGGAATATACTCTATTTCACCGCCTCCCCGCACTGACTTCCAGCCCCACTACACACCTGCGCGTCCTTTCCCGACTGGCTCTCCCTCAACGTTCCCTAATCCATCCGCATGGCGAACAAACTCGGCACATTTCTCGCCTATGCGAAAATCACTGGGGTTCTCCTGCACAAGCTTCTTCTTGTACCTTCCATGCACGTCCCGCCTATCCCCATGAGACATGCCGTGACCATTTTGCCCAGAAACCTGCTACTGAACACCGCTACTCCTGCTCTCCATCCGTACCAACTTCGCCATTCTCGTTCTCCACTGCCCCGCCAACCATCTTCCTCCGCCTTCCCACGAGGTTCCCTGACGATAAACTAAGAGTAGCAGCCCCGAGAGGTGGCGCTGCATCGCTAGGACTGATTAAAAATCCTCTCTTGACAACACAGACAAAATGGAACCTTATAGGCGTACAAGTAGACGGCGTACATGTCACTGCTCTTGTTGACACCGGAGCTCAACTTTCCGTGATGACGAGTGATTTCGCCGCAAGCTCAAGAAGGTTCTCACACCTGCGACCACTCAGTTCGTCTGTGTTGCAGATGGCGGAATAGCATCTATCGTTGGAATGTGCTCCGCTCGCGTAAGCGTTGCGGATCAACACATAGTTGTTCTTTTCACCGTCCTTGATAAATGCCCCCATGACTTAATCTTAGGCCTAGACTTCCTGTCCGCGCATTCTGCCCTCACAGACTGTTCGACCAGTACGCTCCGTCTACACTTGTCCGCAACAGAACCTCTTGCAAATCGCCCGAGTTGCCTCTGCACAACGGGACATGCGTGCCTCCCTCTACAGACACTGACCTACGTAGAGCTCGTCTCAATACCACCAGTTGCCGACGGTGATTATGTTCTGACCTCTATCATCGATGTCCTCATAAACCGCGGCATTACATTACCGCACACCATTCTGTCCGTCGCAGGAAATTTTACGTACCTCCCAGTTGTCAACTTTAGCTTTACACCTCAAGTGCTGCCACAAGGGATCTCTTTGGCGTTGCTCTGCACCTTAGAAGACAACGCGGTAGATGTTTTCACGATGGTTTCTCCTTCTGTTCCTCTTGCTCAACATCAATCTGACACTTGCTCTGACAGCGCTGTTGCGTCAATGATCGCTTCCAACTTAATGCCGCAGCAGACTGACGAGTTCCAGCGGGTTCTGCTGTCCTACATCGCGTTTTTTACCTCAGCGGCCGTTCGTTGAGGAAAGCTACTGGCATGACCCGCCGCATAAACACTTGTAATGAGCATCCTATTCATAGGCGTTCATATCGGGTGTCGGCGGCCGAGTGTCACATTATCCAAAGTGAGGTCGACAAAATGCTCGCCAAAAACATCATTGAGCCATCCTGCAGTTCTTGGGCTTCTGTAGCCCTAGTCCGCAAGAAAGACGGTGCATGGGGTTTCTGCGTTGAATATTGACACCTAAACAAAATTACCAAAAGAGACGTGTACTCTTTGCCACGAATAGATCACTTCCCTTGACTGCCTCTATGGCTCCCACTATTTTTCCTCCACAGACCTTCGTTCCAGCTACTGACAGATAGAGGTAGATGAAATTGACCGTGAAAAGACGGCATTCATAACCCCCGAAGGCCTATATCAGTTCAAGGTCATGCCCTTTGGCCTTTGTAACGCTCCAGCCACCTTCGAACAAATGATGGACTCCCTGCCCAGAGGATTCAAATGGTCCACCTGTTTGTGCTACTTAAACGACGTCATCATCTTTTCACGAACATTTGAAACTCATACAGAGCGCCTCTCAGTCATCTTAGGCATCTTCCGTCGCACTAGGCTGCAGCTCAACTCGTCCAAATGCCTTTTTAGACACCATCAGATCACAGTACTTGGCCATTTAGTAGACGCCAACAGTGTACAACCAGGCCTGGCAAAAATCAGTGCCATCAAAAACTTTCCTGTACCACGATCTGCAAAGGATGTACGGAACTTTATCAAACTATGTTCCTTTTTCCGACGCTTTGTGAAAAATTTTGCACACATAGCAAGGCCGCTTATGCAGCTCCTCAAGAAAGACGTCCTGTTTTTCATGGGGCTCTGAAGAGGCTTCTGCATTCTCGACTCTCATCGCTCTTCTCTCTTCTCCTCCGATTCTGGCTCACTTCAACCCGGCTGCCCCTACGTAAATCCGTATAGATGACAAGTGGACATGGCATTGTTGCAGTGCTGGCTCAGAAACAACGCGGCCATGATTGCGTTATTGCATACGTCTGCCACCTCCTATCCGCCCCTGAACGTAACTATTCAATAACAGAGCGTGAGTGCTTGGCTCTCGTATAGGCGGTGGCGAAATTTCGACCTTATCTATATGGACGCCCATTTTCGGTAATTACCGACCACCACGCGCTTTGCTGGCTCAACTCTCTGAAAGATCCATCAGGCCGCCTTGGTCGCTGGGCTTTGCGCCTGCAAGAGTTTTTTTTTTTTTTCGGTCATCTACAAATCTGGCCGCCTTCACCATGATGCCGATTGCCTCTTCCGGTACACTGTCTACGATCCTGAGGACACTGACGTGCCCACGGAGCACTCTATCTTGTCAGTGTCTGACTTCCTAAACATTGGAGAACAGAAGTGCGATCCAGTGCTAGCTTGACATCATCAGCCGTACGCAATCCTCCCCAAATGATGCTTCCGTCCGCTACCTTGTCATTGAAAAGGGTGTGCTGTACTGCCGCAATTTCCGACCCGACGGCCCTGACCTTCTCATTGTTGTGCCTAAGCATTTGTGGCACTGTGTTCTCACCGAACTTCACGACGCTCTTATGGCTGGACACTTCGGCGTATCCCACACGTACGAGCGCGTCCGGCGCTGTTTCTTCTGGCCAGGCCTTGCTCACTCGGTACGCCGCCACGTGTGACCTATGCCAAGGTCATAAAACACTGTCGCTGCTACCCTCTGGCCATCTTAAATCAATCGACATACACGCAGAACCATTTTACCGTGTTGAGTTAGACTTGCTTGGTCTTTTTTGTACATCAACATTGGGAAACAAATGGATAGCCGTGATTACAGACTACGCTACACACTACGCGAGCTCTACCGACCAGCTGTGCAACCGACTTCTTGTTACGGGATTTTATATTGATTCACGGTGCTCCGAGACAACTCCTCACAGACCTTGGCCGTACATTTCTATCCCAAGTCATCGCCGACATTCTACATTCTTGTTCCACGCAACACACCCTGACAACCGCTTACCACCCTCAAACAAGCGGCCTCATGAAACAATTTAACTGTACTCTTACAAATATGCTCGCCATGTATGTGTCGCTCGACCACCGAGACTGGGACCTTGCCTTACCCTACGCATCTTTCGCGTATAATTCATCCCGTCAGGACACAGCGGGTTTTTCGCCGTTTTTCTTATTGTACGGAAGAGAGCTGACTTTACTACTGGACACAGTCATCTCAGCTTATACCTCGTCCACCATCGAGTGTGCCCGCGACGCGATTGCGCGAGCCGATCACGCCCGTCAGCTCGCTCGTGCTCGGCTGATGGCGTGGCAAACCAACCAATTCCGTCGGTACAATGCGGAACATAGAGACGTACATTTCGCTCTCAGTACGCTCGTTTTGCTATGGTCCCCTCATCATCAGCTGGGCCTATCAGAAAGACTTTTGTCTCATTACGTGGAACCTTACTGTGTATTGCATCAAGCAACACCTGTCACCTATAAGATCAGCCCCATTTATCCATCATCATCTGCTATGTGGTCCAATGATATTGTACACGTCTCACGAATCAAGCCCCACAAGAATGCTTCAGATAACGACCTTTAAGCACCGGGATGGTGCCTCCGCTGTCGGGGGTCAAGCTACGTGCCAGTGCACGGAGATAAAAAAGACAAAGCAGATAGACTGGCACGAGCTAATCTCTGTGGCTGGCGCTGCTTGCTTAACCGGCTGTAAATACATCTGTCACTACTTTTCCGAGTCGGTCTCCTTCTCGTAACAATATAATTCAGCCTCCGTATTGCCCCATTTTTTATAAGACTACTATAAAACACCACCCAGCCAGCACTTCATCACCCTGGCCAAAAGAAATACTTTTATGTTGCTAAGATTATGCTTTGGAATCCTCTCCAACATTTTTTTTTTTTCTGCAATTTCACTTTGAAGTATTAAAAAAATATTCCTTCAATATTCTGGAAATATTAGAAAAATATTCTATTCGAATCACACTCACACCTCAATGTTTGAATTAGCTTCGCACCCAAAATTTTGCTATTTACACAGATCTACTTAGCACAACCTTGATGTTGTGGCTTAGAGCTTTATAGCGATTTGTGCAAATAGTTGTGCATAAGGTTAATATGCTCATTGGATCATCTACATGGTTTGTTATCAGAACAAAACATACACTAGATCAATGCTAAGAGCATAAAATTAGTAAGTAAACATAGTTAAGAATAAACCGTGTTGACTGCCATTACTATGCCAAACATACAAGTCAGATCATTGAATCCAAGAAAAACATGGAGAAGCAGAAAAGAGAAAATGGTTCTCTTTTTCTTGGCTTCAATACATGTTTAACCATACTGGCTGCTTGATCATGCATCTTCAAAGGAATGTTGCATTTAAAGATTAAAAAGGTGTGCGTAAAAATGGAGCTCCTCAAAAAATATTGACTACGGTGAGCTGCTTTTACACAGTGTTGATCTAAACCTAGGATGTACTGTAGTAACAAAGATACTTGGAACAAATAGTATCCCTTCTATCTGAATTCTGCATGTGGTACTGATGAATATGTTGTACAACATTGATTACAGGGCAGCTAATGCAGACTTGGCACTCATAGTAGTGGAGGCACGAGAAATGCTCCGATCCAATCTCACAGCAGATTTTGTTGACAATCACCTGAAGGAACTAGGAATAGAGTCATGTGCTCAACACCGCCTCATCATCTTCAACAAGCTGGATCTTTTGTCCAAGGATGAGAAGACCATTGTTGAGGAGCGTGCAAGGTGCATGCGCATCGACAGTTGCTTCACCTCGTGCACCGAAGAGCAAGGCATCAGTGACCTGGTGAAGATCCTTGGCGCACATCTTGAAGACCTGTGAGCTTGTGTATTTTTCTTATTGTAATCATGGGCTTGTATGCAGCATGAAAATGTAGTACTAATCTCAAGTGCTATTCAAGTTTGTAGACACTATTGTCAAATGCACAATGCATGTTGCAACCAGAACTCAGAAAAGGAACACACGATGGTGCTTCTTACCACCATTTATTAGAGCATTATTTTTTACATATATAAATGGTTTTCTGCAGTGGCGAACGGGCTCTGCCACGTTTGAACATGTGATCAATGGCCTTCTCCTTTCCACTTTGTCACGATCGCTGATGGCCAGGCGATTTGCTGCCGCAGATCTCGGGTTAAAGGGCAGCAAAGTGGCCGCAACGTATAGTCCGCGCCAATAGTTTTTTTTTTCTCTCTTAGGCACTGCGCCGTGTCTCCTTATGGCTGACGGAAATCAAGTGCATTTTTCCTTCTTCAAGAATTGCTACTACCACTGTTTTTCACCGTAGGCTGCAGGGCAACGCCCGCCACACGCCACATCGCGGCCGCGCCGCGAAAAAGAAGGCCGTGACACTTTGGTGCCGTGGCGCTATCTAGTTTTGCATAGACAAACTAGCTGCAGAAAATGGTCTATTCAGGGAATAAGCCACTTGATTGTGCATGTCAAAAGCAGATAAAAGCTTCTCAACAACTTGGAAATGCCAATTGCAAAAATTGCCACTCTGAATTCGATTACATGATAGACAGCAACTAATACATCTAGCACCTAACCTGTGGCATATATACGAAAAAAAAAAATGCTGTAATAAATTGCTGTCAGCGCCTCAGCCGCTATTTTTATATTTTTTTGTCAGTGTCATAGTGTGTTTCATATCTTTGTCCTTATCATTTCATGTGCTGTGCGTTTCATAATGCTCCACCAACAGGCCCTGGTTTGCACAATTTTTATATGTCGGCAACAACACTGCCATGTTGCACGTTTCAACTTTTTCTTAAGTTTTACAGTTGCTTGTCTGGAGTGCAGCATCCTCTGTGTATGACTTCTCTGTTGGTCATTAGTGAGATGAAGTTTTTTTAAATACGAAAACAAAAAAGAAAACACTATGGTTGCTATTCAAAGGGTCAGTCAACAGGCTCACACTTTTTTGTTTTTTACACCCCTCAAAGAAGCTCGGCAATTCGTAGAGCAGACCAAGACGATCACGTTTCCCGAATACTACAGCATGAAAGCTTGGCAATCATTGTTTTGAGCATGTGAAATTAGCCAACTCCTCATGCAAAATTCACTGGCAAGCAGCCAGGTAACAAATCCAGGGGACTCTAGACAATGAGCTCTTTTCAGTTTTTAATAGCCACCTTGTGCTTTTTAAAAGCGATTTTAACACCTACTCAGAGTTTAATTAGGCTCATCAGTTTTTTTTGTTATGAAAGTAGAGAAACTAAACTTTGAGAGGCAATAAAAACTAAATATATATAATTTTTGAAAAAAAAAAACAAAAAACTTGCATTTTTAGGCTTTCATCTCCCCTTAAACAGCCTTTCTCTTTCACTCTGTGCCCTGTGTTGCAGATGTGGTAGGCCAGCAGACTCGAGCCCTGTTCTGACTCAGGAAAGGCACAGAAGACATCTGGAACAGTGCCTGAAACACCTGAAGCTCTTCAGCACTGACGTGCAGCACGATTCTGTCATAGGCGCTGAGCACTTGAGGATTGCGCTTACTCACCTGGGCAAAATAACGGGCCGCGTCTTCACGGAGGAAATACTTGATGTTATATTCAGAGATTTCTGCATAGGAAAGTAAGTTTCTGCGACAGTGTGTGCCTTTGCTGTGGTGAACAGGAGCATATTAAATGGAATATTTGTGATGGCAGCATACTCTATATACCTGTAAATTTGTGGTACATTGAGGCGCCGCCCACTGAGTCAAAGTTGCATACAGTGCAGTCCACTTATAACGATACCGAGAAAACCTAAAAATATGATCGTTATAACCGGTGATCGTTATATCTGGACTGCCGCCAAAAATTCGTCGCCGGACGTACCTTTTGTAGCTCCAGGCTTCATTTCGCTATTTTCACCAATTAACAAATATTGTAGATAGTAGGATGTCAAAAACAAGACTTTATTTCTTACTCCGAAGAACGCATCACGGGTTCGCTGAGGAAGAGAGACTGACCGACGGCGGGGTGGGAGCAGTGGGAGGAAGAAAGCACAGCCAGAGGTACACAGCCGGAATGCCAACGAGGCCCCGCCCCGATGCCGCCGCGCCGCTTTGCTTTTCGCTTTTTTTATTTTCTCTCTCTTTCCCGCTTTCGTTCGGCAAGCTACGAGTAGCTTGCCGGCTTGCCGTTGTAGAAGGCGGGGAGCCGCGGAGCGCGGCGCTTTGCTTTTCGCATTTTTTTTTTTTTTTTGAAATTCTCTCAGCCTCTCCGCGGTCGACGCGCGGCGAGGCGCAAAACGTGACACAGCTGGCGCCATCTGTAGCGCGTCGCGCCAACTCGCGATGCTCTCCTCGGCTTTTTGAACGGCCGGGACGCGCTGCCGGCGCTGTGCTGCAGTGGCGGCAGGTACTCGCCTACGCTAACTTTTCGTCTTGTCTCGGCATAGTTCGTTTCAGAGGAACTTATCAATCTAAATGTTACGATTATTCTGAATGAAACATGCCGTCCACGGCAAACTTTTCATCGTTGTATCCGATATGCGGTGGATAACATATCGTTATATATGGTTTTTTTCCCCATAGCCCCAATGCATAAAATGAGACTGTTAAGTCGACCCATCGTTATAACCGATATATCGTTATATGTGGTATCGTTATAAGTGGACTGCACTGTATAATATTTTTCTTCATAATGCGAGTGGTCACAACGTATGCTGGATAAAAAGACATTTATCGCATCTTCCGCACACCCAGCTGTCCAGCTGAATTACATACACAAATTCAGCTTGCCAATGAGCCATGTTAAACTGAGAATTTTTATAATAATAATATCGGGGGTTTAATGTCCCAAACCCGTGATATGATTATGAAAGATGCCGTAGTAGAGCGCTACTGAAATTTCGACCACCAGGGGTTTTTTCAACGTGGATCTAAGTTCACAAGTCTGAAACATTTTCGCCTCCATCACAAATGCATCAACCGAGGATTTTCAGTTCCCACTTCGAGATATCAAGTCAGTAATGTTCTTCACTGGTGGAAGTTCATGTCTATGTAGTTCACAAGTGAAATGTCATGAATGGATGCACAGTCAAACAAATGTATGAAGGTACACGGGAGAAGAAAACGCACAATAAACGTAAGAACTAAACAAAACGAGCGTTTATTTCAATCTTGTCTAGTTTTTGTCAGACAATATGAAAAGAACTCATGCAAAATAATGCCACGAAAATTATACATTCCTTGGCATTATCATTAGTTAGTCCTCTTTAATATTGTGTATAAAAAAGAAAAGAAATGAGCATTTCAAATTCTCTTTCTCTCCTTAGTTTGTGTATTTTGTGTGATTTGCACTCTCGAGTACCTTCATGGATCAGTACCAACTCGCGCCACTTTTTGTCTTCCAAACTTATGGAATCTGCGGAAGTGCTCCACAGGTGCCATGACCATGTACGAGATTGACACCTAGCCAAAGAGGAGGAAAGAAGTTCTCACGCATAAGTAATCGTGCTGTCAGGTGAAACAAGCACAGCAACACCCGCACCAATTCTTTTCCTACTGCACAAGCGTGAGGCTGTGAACAAAAACCTAACTCCAGTACCCTTGTGAGCTGTGGGGAAAAAAATAGAGCATCAGGGGAAATCAACAGCATTTCCACAATGCTCAAGACAAGCTGACACATGAAATATCCAACAGTTAGAACAGTTTACTTTCAAAACAATAATACAAGCCTTTCTATACACTATTTACATTTACTCTGCCACATTTCCACCTCGACAAAGCAGTCGTCTCACTGAAATCCCAGCAATTCACCCACAACTCTTTGCACATACGTCGCATCGCAGAAAGACATGGAAACAATTTCCTACTGAGATGTAACATAATAATGACATTGCATACTTAAAATGTGGCTAAGCATCATTAGGATTAGGCATGTCTAATCCTTATTGAAGCAGGGAAAATTGCAAACGGGAAGCTTAATTTTCGTTTTACGACCCCTTCATCTGAGGTGCGTCTGTTTACTTACAAAAGTGCAAAGGGTGCAGTGCACCCTTTGCACTTGCACCTCTAGCTTAGTCTACTCACTATGGCCAGGTAAATGTCGCAGTAGTGCCATTTTCAGGCATCAATGAAAGCAGACTAGGCAGGGAGTGTGCCCTCACTCCACTACCCCTAATCCAGTACAACCTACTATTTACTGGCACTAAGTTGGTGGCGTATGAGAAACAGAAGTTTGCCATAAATCAGAGAGAAGTGGCGTTCCCCTCGCATCCAACATTTTTACACACGGTTTACATAACTCATAGAAAGCATTCCTGGAGCTGCATTGTAAGCTTTGTGTAACATCTATGTGTAACCGCATACAGTAGACTCTCAGTAAACACAAATCTGTTTTAAATGAAACTGCTGCTTGAATGGAAAAACTGCCTTTGATATGATTGGGTTCGTAGCTGTTCTCTGCACCCCTGTCCATCTCTCAGTGAACGAAACTCCTGTTTATTGTAATATATTTTTACTGTTCCTTCACGTTCCGTTTTGTGAGGGTCTACTGTATTGGAGCATGGCTCGAGGTGCTAATTTATTTGTTTCCCGCAGTGATGTTATCACACTATTCTGTGGCCCAGAAAGTCTCAGCCAAGAAACTGTACGCTCTGAATTATTAGACCTGGCAGAAAATATGTGAAGCCAGTTTTTGATTGTGCAATAACGGTGAATTGCCCGGGAGTACGCTACAACAGCCAGTGAAAAGATACAGCACAACAAAGAAGCATAAATATTTGAGCTGGTTAGTCATGCCTAGAGCAGAGACAACTGAACAGGACGTATGGAAAAAAAACTTGCGCACTTTATCTCCACAGAGCTTTTTTGTCTGCATATAGTATATTGCAACAGGCTGAAGATCAGAATAAAGTACATGCCGGCATGTCCAGGCCTAAGAAAGATTAATCTTTTTCTCTTATCTCATAGGCTGTGTGCTCAGTGCAAACTGGATATTTTGGCTACCTGTTTCTTAAACTATCTTATCTGTCAGATTGATGAATCGGCATACATAGAAAGCGACGAGGCATCCAGAGCACAGACAGAGGAAACGTCCAAATGCAAGCCATGATGACACTGCTTCTGATAATGCTTTACTCGAAGCTCATCAGCACTGAGCTATAAGCTTCCCCAGCACCTTTCCACGATGAACACAAATGTGACAGTAGTTCATCTCCCAGATCGGCTCCTTTTCTAAGCTACACTGCAGAGTCCCTGTACCTTCCCGTCAGCAGTGCGCAAACTGCCAGTCTGCATTCAGCAAGCAAAAAAATTAGATCTTATACTCAGTCTTCACCCAACCAAAAAGGATGTCTGGTAATAAAGATGAGTGACACGTAATGGAGATGGTTCAGGAACGATGTTGTGGACTTTTGGAGATTGAACCGGTGTAGGATCTGCCAACTCAGGACAGGAAGCAAGCCTGGCCTTTTTGCCCCAGATCTTGTTGCACATGCTTTTCCAAGAAACTAGGCCCTAATGTAGGCACCCAAGAATCCTGTGTTGTGTTTTGCGCGATATCGCTGGGAGGTTGATGGAGATGTGGGGATGACGAGAGGGCGCACGCTTTCACGCTGTAACACTACTTCTGGGCCTTTTGGCACAACTGCAGCTTGTTTAAGCACACCAGGTCTGAGTGCGCTGTTAATGAATCCTGCAACCGACTAGACCGCCCCTATTAAGAAATGTACAGGGAACCATCGGCTGGTCCCAAGTAGCCAGCAGCTACGAGGACAACGTCGACCAGCGTCCAGACACCAAGTCCACCAAAGCTGAAGAGCTTGCCAATGCCCTCTTGCCACATTCCCAGGTAGAACCGGTCGGCTCCAAAACCACCAAGCACAATGCTGCAGTGTCAAAGCGAACCAATCAGGTCTCACGTGTACGACTATGCAAGGAGCCTTACCAGCACAAAAAATATTGTCTCACCTACAAAGGTCTCAGCTCTTTAACGCACAACACAGTACAATTAATGTCCATATATTGTCCACATTGAACAATTAGCCTATGAAACTTAAGCAGGACAGGAGCACAGGGGAAAGTGGAGGCATAAAGTAAACATTATTGAATACACGAAAAAGTAAATGGAGCTAACATTTTGACAAATGAACTTGTCTTCGTCAGAGACTCATCAGTGAACTTGTCCATTCTGACAAGGACAAGTCAGCATGTTGAAACGTTAGCTTCAGCGGAACTCCACGGAAAGAAATTATCATTAACATAAGTAAGGTATGCGTACTGCAAGTCACAATGTCTGAGCATATAGCACAAACATGTTATAGACATCTTTATAATCTTGCCTACATAATAGACAAACTCTTATCAAGTGGTGATTTTATCTAATCAATAGCTACCAACCTCGAAGCATATGCTTTTGGGCACTGCAAGCTGAGCAGATCTTGGTTGCCGCGTCTAAGATGCAACCTTTTGTCAGCAACATAGGTGTACAAAAAGTTTTGCTGTCTGCTCACTCACAGCTGAGAAGTTTAAAAAAATGTAGTGCTCAGCAGGCTTTTATCAGCTGTGAAACTTACCACAACAGCAAGTAAAATAAAAATGTGATGTTGCACAAGTGATGTTGGCTTATTTGATACCTGCACTCTTGCAAATTTAGCAAGAAACTGTGGCCTCACCGATCCATCAGTATAGGGTGGTGAAAGTGCATGCAGCGGCTTTTCTACATGCTAAGGGCCGGCAATTAAGATTGCACTAAGGACATCTAGAACCTTAAAATTAATTTTCTGCTAAATTAAGCATTTTTTGGGGGCTGAATCAAGTGTTACCAGGTTTCTGAAGTGTTATATTATTTGGATTAGGCAAAAGGTACAGTCTCAACGAAAAAAGATTAGAACAAGTGACCGGTAGCCGGAGTGGCATGTTTGCGACATCCGGCGTCGAGTTTTTTTCGAGCGTGGTGAAATTGGGAGTACCAAGCACATTCCGATTCTCAAAGCAGGAGTGGCTGGAGTGAAAGCACTCCAACAAGCAGCTTTTTCTTGGCAACTGCTATAAAGATATGGTGGCTCACAACTTCAGCGAAAGAAAAAGGAGGAAAAAAAAAAAAAGGATGTTGACTGCATAGCCACATCTGCTGACAAGCAATAGACAAGATGAACAAGCTTTTCTTTAGTATGTGGGCTTTCAGATGGGCCAACAGGAAGACCGGCTGCTTACCGCTGGTCCACTGGCCACTCCTGCTTTGGATGATGGAATGAGCTTAAAAATCTCACTATTAGCATGCTTGTAAACAACAGTGCCACGTGTCACAATTTTGCGGATCCGCCTGCAGTTGAATTGCGCTATTTTCCGTTGAAACTGCAGATAAAAAAATGTGTACACACCTGAGAACTAAAGCCGTCCACCAACTATAGCCCCTGGTCCAATTGCACAGCAAGTTTTTGTGAAACTGCCTCCTACCTGAAAATGAAAAAAAGATCTTTTTTTAACACACCATTGTATAATGTCTTGATCACCGTGTAAGGAATGATAAGCTTTGCTTTCAGGAGCAACATTTTTATACAGCTGCAAAATTTCTATATTAAGGAGACACTAAGGAGGAACAATGACTTTGTTTAGATTGAAAAACTGCACTCTGAGAACTCTAATGCAATATGTTTCACTATAATAAGTTCATTACTAGCGGAAAACAAGGTTGAAATTTCATTTTTAGGTTACAAGCCAAAATCTCCACGTGTGACGTAACAAATTTCAAAATGTGTTTTCGGTATTTTTGTGGGCTTGGCTTGATGAAATTTTCAGCAACTTTATATACTAAGTCTATGGCACCCACATGTTACATTGTCCTTCATTTTTATCGAATGTAAGCTCCATAGGACCCAGTAGACGCCTTCAAAACTTCTTACGTTACGGTGTTTTGTGCGGGAATCTCAGTGGCGTCGCCACCGAGATTTTCTTTTCGCGTGTTTTCTCACTTACTTAGCGTCGTGTTGCAGTAAATGTGTCGTTTTCTGAATTGTGAAATTGTGCTCTACTAGTGCGTGAAAAATCGTTTTGTTCTTTCGAGTGCCTTTAAAAAGGTGACAGAACTGACTTCAATGAATAACGAAGGCAGTGCAAGCAGTGTTCAAGCATTATACAGCTACAAACCTTACAGCCATGATTTGCTTTGATGTTTACTACATACATTTGATGCATTCTACCAGCCCAGTCGCACTAATAGGAGTTGCGACAAGGTGCTGCGGTTGAAGTGGTGCCAACAAAGCATGACTGTGCTGACACACGAAAGATTGGTGGACTGTTTCGATTTGTGGTAACATACATGGTAAATCAGTTTATTATACGCTGGTGCGACCATAAATGAATCGATGGATGGAAGAACTTTATTTCATCAGACGGCAACTGTGAATGATTTCGTGTTAGATGGCCATCAGCCCAAGGTTGACGGTAACCTGTGTGGCCCACTCCACGACCCTTGTTTGGACAACTAGGTCTGAGCTGGTCAACACGGCCTCCCATTGCTTGAGAAAGGGATCCCGCATATTTGGCGCCCACGTCACCATGCAACATTTCCACAATATATGGTCATATGCTGCTACTGCGTGGCACTATATGCATTGCAGCTTGATCTCCTCCGGGTCTATCTTGCTCAATACGTATGGGTTGGGAAAAGACTGCATCTGCAGTTTTCTCCAGATGCATTCCTGCACATTAGTTAACTGCTTGTGCAGGGGCATATAAAGCCTCCATTCAAGTTTATAATGATTGGTGATGTCATGAAAGGACACCAGGCCACCTATCGCAGACCTCCTCAGAACAAGCGGCTAACAGCCTGGCTGACGAAACCCCGAGCATGCAGGTGAGTCGCCTTGTTCCCAGGGTTCCGGGAGTGTGCTGGTACCCACACAATTTCTATTTCCCGAATTTCTCATCCCATGGCTCCATGCAGCAATCATACAGCAGTTACCGATGTTCTGCCCTTTCCCAGATTTCAAATGCTGTTTTCAAATCGTTAGCAATCATGTCAATATGAAGAATTGGTTGCAGCTAGCGTTATTGCCGCTTCCTCTGCAGTTTCTGTGGAGCTGTTTTAGTTCGATCCAGAGGCAAACAGCACCCCAATCGCAAATGTGTCTTTGTAGTTATATTCCGCGACTTCTGTATAGGCTTTGGTGTCTGTGCATGTGCCTGCGAATCGACTATGTCATGTTTCAGCTGTATCATGCATCATGCATGGACATATTGGCCCTGAAACCAATCAGAGTTCAGGAAAATATTGCCTGGTCCTCCACATAGCCCTGAAGCCTATTTAGAATCACATGCTCCATCACTGGCTTGGTGCCCCTTCAGCCATAACCACTGCGAATGGGGCATGCTACTGTGCTGCTGATGCGGACGCTTTTAACATTTGCCTAAGATGCGAGCATAGTTGTTCAACAGACTATTTATTTTTGTTTTTCCTGCCTTTTCGCATGTACTAAAGCCGGGAAACCTCATCACATTCCGAAATTCGATCCCCTATTTTTTTTCTTTCTTTTTATTTTTGCGTGAAAATGTATGGCTGCCGTGGACAAAAATTAGCACAAGTGACTCGATGAGAGGAGTTACACCACTGTGACTGGAATTCAAATGCTAGCTTCAAGGATGGCCTGCTTTTCGTTGTTCACCCTTGCTTAACAAAAAAGCAAATCATGCTTTCTACTCGTTAATGTCGTTCACGAGAAGTGAAACACTGCATGTCGCGATTTTTTTACTCCAGTCATTGGACACATGTACTAACCTTTTTTCCCTGCAGTCACACCTTTAGTGACAATGTTGTACACTCCTTACTTTGTGATAAAGTTTTTGCCAAGGGCGGTGATTCAGCAATACTGCGGGTGATTTATTCCTCCTTGAAATGCGACTTCCTCAAGAAGGATGCACATTTTCCGGTTTAAAATTTTATGCCATGTAGCCATTTCACCCTTCACAGACACTATCACCACTGTGCAGCATGCTATGCTTGTTTGCTTACGATATTCAAACTCGGGAGGAGAGGCACCCGAAACGCAAGTCACTTTGCATCAGTCCTCACCCAGACAGAGAACATCAGGTCGCACATTGCATGTTGCGATGTAGCGCTGGCGAGGAGCACTGTTCACCTGGCAAGTGCTATTGTGGTCGCAGATGTGGTCACTACTTGCCGTTTGATAGCAGTAGCGGCAGATCATCTTGCGCTCAAAGGCACCAGACTTGTCCTGCGCGTTATTGCAATTAGTAGCATTGAGATTATTGTGGGTGATAGGTTAGGCACACAACTCTCGCTTGTAAAAATACTTAGTATTAAAGGGGCCCTGCAACAACAACTTTTTCAGCATGGTAAGAAAACGTGCCCTATCGGTAGACCGGGCTCCAGGGAACACGTGAGCCAAGCACTATAGCAGAGCTCCCGGTCTGGGATTCACAATTCTCAGTCTGGTAGAAACTGTTCCCTCTTCTCTGGGCAAATTATGCCATATAACAGTATTAATTGCAGGGTGATTTGAGCATCGTTCGTGAACTGCATAGTCACCATGGCTGCCACGTGTCTATGAGTGTGCTCGCAATCACACTGTAAATAGGACGTGTGTTCTAAGAAAAGAAATTAAGAAGTGCTTGAGGTCATGACGTGCGCATGACATGACTTTTTTTCCCCGCGCCATCTCTCTTTGCCAACCATTTGGTGCGCCTGTTGGTCAGACAAAAAGCAACTACAGGGTGCAACAAACATCTGTAACTCTGCTTGTACTTGATCGATGTTAAAAATATTTGGAGTGATGGATCCGCAAGTCAATAAGCTTCTTTAATGAATCCATTCGATGGTTACTTGAAAATACATTGCAGGGCCCCTTCAAAAGAACTCAAAGGAACAGTTTTAACTAGCAGAAAGATGACATGCAGTCTTCGAATACTTTTTCTGGCTTCTATGTAAAAACTCAGTTATCAATACTGATGCCTCAAACAACATTATGCAGACCGAATGAACGAGAATGTTGGCATGCATCATTTATTTCTTTCCTTATAAGGATTTATTAATGAAACAACATACACATGGAAAAGGGGCACACTAACACAGGTGCAATACCTTAGAGGAAATAATGCAGCAATGGTAACGTACTGACACACTATCACGCCGAGCATGATCTACACTGCATGAGAATGTGGCTGAGAGCACTACAAGATTGTGCAGTGACCTCGAACTTGACATGTTTTCGAGTAATCGTGGGCGAGTGTGGCTGTTGCTGCAAGTGCACATCACCTTCACTTGCCTACGTGCTCATTTTGTCCTGCAGCGACGTCAGCTTCGAAGGTTTCAACTTCTGGGGCAAAAGAAAGCAAGTGGCGGTGATGCTTGCTAGCAGAGACAGACAAACTCTCTCACGATAACTCTGAATAAGAGTCGATTGTGTTCTCGGCCAAACGCTTGTGTGGTGTAATACTTCTTTATTTATTTACCAATACTGCAGAGTCACTGGACTCCCAAGCAGGAGTGGACAAAAATAAAATCGCATAAAAAGAACGCATCAACAACCAGTTACACAACTGTAAACAAGAAATAACACATGCAACAGTACAATTCAAGTACAACAATGTAAGGACACCATTATGCAAGAATTTCCCTCAATTTTGTTATAGAAACTTCTACGTTGGGACTATTCCCAACTTCCTCGGGTAGTTTGTTTCTGAGCACGACAGTCTGCAAACAAGTAAAAAAGTACAGTCTATTTCTCACTTCAGTTATTGTATTGCATATGAAATATCCCATTGATTTCATGTAATAATGCTTGACAATTAACAGTAGCCATTCAGACTAGTCATTCCCAACTATGCCATGAAAATGTGGAGCGATAGGGTCTGCGGCAATAGGACGATATAATATAGTTGTCAGGCTTAACGTCCCAAAACAAGCATATGATTATGCGAGACATCGTAGTGAAGGGCTCGGAATTTTCGACCACCTGAGGCGGTATTAGCACGAATACTATATATAAGAGAGAGAGAGACAGAAGTGAGACCAGCTTCGCGGTACTTAGTGCCACTCACAATGCACTTGATTCCCTGCTTGGGCTGGCACATAACTGTGACTTCCTCGCCATAGACGCAAGAGTAGTTGAACTTGCACGCAAGACACTCGGCCTTGAGTCTGTTGCAAGGAACGTCAGACGGACAGCTGTCGGGCCCAGCATCTCGAAACAAAGGCCTGGCCTGGAGATCCTGCCTGTTGTATGCGGATAAAAAAAAAGTTGCGGAATTACTACCAAACGTGGTAGCAAGCCTAGCTGATAAGCCGTAGTATTAATAAGGAAGTTACTGTGGAATATCTCCAACGTTGTAGATCAAGTCTGCTTTGCTTCGGTAGACACGAGAAACTACGCTTTCGTTCGCGAAGAACGGGTAATAAGCGTTTCCACTCGAAGAGTGCCTCAGGGCGCGGGGTACATCTCTGGACAGCTCCACCTCTGCAACCAAAAAGGGAGCGAGAACGCAGTCTTGGCTAAAATCTCAACACGGAGTCCTGTAACATTTCATAGCTTCGCTACAGTAAGGCTAGTAATGCTAAAATGTTGACCATGATAGCACACGGAACGCGTGCTCGACTAAGTGCGTGCAACGACGCTTCCTCACCTTTGTGTACAGATCCACTACAGACACAAAAAGACAGAATAACGAAAGAAAACGCGAATGTCGTTTCAGATAACCGATGCAACTGCTTTGGAAAATCTAAAGACACCATTATTGTTGTCGCGCAGTGTGGCCAGAGCTTGATTTGACATCTACTAAGCATAGAGTCTACGCTTCCAAGTTCCTAACTAACCCCAAAAAAATTTTTTTTAATTACAATGAAACGTAGAGTTGTTTGTCCTTTTACACGGCTTTATTAATCGGGGTGACACAGGTGCAGCCGATTGGTGTGAGCAGCACATGACTATGAACACGGCCGCTGGATGAAAAAGCGCACGCTTTCATCCAGCGGCCGTGCTATGAACATAGAGCTCTATGCTATGAACATGACTCGGGAAAAAATGTGGTGGTGGTCAAGTAACGTTGTTGGTGGTGGTGGTTGAGGGGGGGTTAAGACACAGTCCAGTCGGAATATGAGGAGTACCGACTTTGGGGGGCACATTCAAGTCCGATGCCGCGTGTGCAGCTGTATAATATGGCGTCTTCCTGAACGGTCGGCTCGAGGTCACAATCAGAGCCGTACGCAGTCCGCACAGCTTTATCATCGGCTTAAAGTGTATGTCCCAAGTGTGGAATGCGGCTGAGAATTATTCGCCAGGGGGACAAGGGTGATAATAAAAAAAAATAAATGGGAACAAAACCATCCCATGAGGTGTGCATTAGTCCCCAAGGGGCAGAAGGGTGTTCGTTCATCCTCTATTTGCCGGAGGGCGGTATGCTCACCATGGGAGAACCAGATATAGTATAGGTTTTAGGTCCTAATTGCAGATCCCGAATACCATACAGGATCACCCATTGCGTAGCCTTGTCAAACCCTTTGGTGTGATCGATAGCCAGAACTGCTCTTGCATGGTGTACCACGTCATTGGGGATGGCGTGAGAAAATTGAACAGAGCATCTTGTGCGGAAAGGTGCGATCGAAATCCCACCATGCTGTAGTGATATAGTCCCTACGATTCCATGTGGGCCGTGTGACGGGTGAGCGTTATGAGATGCTCAAATAGTTTGCCCAGGCACGGGGTAAAGAAGATGGGGCTCTGACTGTGGAAGTTTATGGGATTATTGATCTTAGGGATGAAAGTATTTTTGCGTGCACCTACTGTGCTGGTATCTCCTCATTTTTTTCTGCACTTATTGAAGTAATCGGTAAGAACAGAAATATAACGGTCACCTACAATCACGAGCATGCCATTGGTGATTTCGTCTTCTCCTGTTGATTGTGGCCTCCTGAATCAGGGAGTCGTGAGAAGGTTAATCGGGACCACTGTAGTCGGGATATGACAACACTTGGCCCACAGTGGTATAAATAAAATTTGCTTGGTCTAAGAGTGCCTGTTGATAATGACGATTTTGATGGCCAAGCTTTTTAAATGTAAGTCACGTTTGCCTTTTTTTTTAGTCTGACTATAAAGTCTATCATATGTCGAAAAAGATGCCAGGCCCTAGATGAGGAGAGAATACCGTCATTCTGTCGCAGTTTGGTGCAAATTAGATTTGTCGAGTGGTGCCGTGCGCTCCCATTTCTTTCTGAAGCTGCGCCAGTTTGAGTTTCAGTCTTTTATGAAGGGTTTTCCGGTGCGTGCGTGTACTAGTTTGTGCTTGTAATAAGTCGGCTAGCCTGTCAATACTGTGAGAGTCTCGGGGGTGGCATGGAACATTTGCATGAAAGCCTGGACGTTCTGTAAGAAATCTTTCATACATGTGTGGAGGTTGAAGAGGTACTCGAATGGTTTTGCCTCTTTGCGCTTACGAAAATTAGCCCAGCTAGTTTGCCGCGCATGGCGGCTTCTAAGTTTTTTGGCGAAGTCAGGCTAATGCGTCGCTTTCAAATTCGGACTTCGTTGCACTTAACAATCAATTTGGGCGTGAGAACATTGCGCCAAAGTACGTGCAGCACGTAAAAGACAAAGGAGAGAGAGAGAACGAGAAGCAGTGAGGGAGAAAAAAAAATTAAGGGAAGAAGAATTAAAGATACAAGGAGTGAGACACAGAAAGAAATAAAAAGAAAAGCGGTACAAAAAGGGACACTTGAAACAAAGAAAGAACAAAAGAAATAAAGAGAAACAAGGAGGAATACCAAACTCCACTCTGTCTCCTGTCTTGGAACAATTAGCGCAGAGCTGCAGTATAGCTTTATTTGGGGTTTTTATATTTGACGCTCGCAACAGAACCTCACTCGCGGCTTGTGCGTGCACTTTCAAGCGCGAAATCTGACCACGAAATGCTGACAGCTCAAATACGCGCTTACGTTCCTCAGCGTTGCACGCTATTACAATGAACTTCTATTTCACTGTAACGCTATGTACGAAACCTCGTACAGTTCAATGGTGTTAGCCGTCTTTGCTTCGTAGAGGTCATGCCATCATAAAGACAAGGAGTCCCTCGCACGACGTCGGTATAAGCTTGAGACCAGCCTTATTCCGAATACATAGCAAATAATAATAGTAAGTTTATTTGCCACTTTGTGAAATACAGATGGGGAGATTGTATACAACTCTTTGTATTTGGCAGTACAATATTATATATACATACAGGTATATACTCCTAAATGTGTACATAATTATACAAAAAAACACTCACACACACGCATACACACAGGGACATACTGATGTTACAACATAATTCAACACACATTTTCATCTTAAAAGGCACTAAATGGAAGATGCGTAAACATTGTAACATGAATCTATTCAGCAACCACATACATTCTCTTAAGTTCTTTGAAGGAGGCCGTAAAGAGGTCAAATTCAAGAGGCCGTAAAGAGGCCGTAAAGAGGATTTTTCCTCTTCAATGTGTTCGGTATCTGTGTATAAGTGATATGTTTATCAAAACAATCTGCATCTTAAACTAAAATGTCGTTCATTATACAACTCTTTCTCCTGCCTCTAATTAATGTATGTTATAATTGCATGGATCCATACTAGCATTCTGCTAAGGATCCAGATGTTGGGATAACATGTTTTTTTCTTTACTGTATGTTGTTTATTCATAATAAAGTTCAAAGTTCAAATTGTATCGATTTATGGCTGTTTAACAGTGTATTGATGATTAATATGTGGGGTTTAACGTCTCAAAACCACCTCATGATTATGAGAGGCGCATGTTTATTAGTGTAGGTATTGTGTATTGAAGCATTTGTTTTCGTAGTTTGAACGCGGTGTTGGCACTAACCACCCCTCTAAGTGTCTGGTACCGTAATTTGGAGCTTTTCTTTGAAGTTGGGCAAGATTATATAAGTTGTTTATGTTCCGATAGTCATCTTGTTTTTACATGTGACTCAAACGATATTGGTGCAGCTTATGTGCAGGAATCACGCCCGAATTGTTAAAGAAAGTTATTGTCGATGCTGTGTAACAAGCGTTGTATGCGTGGCGCAGATACTTTTTTGTGACATGAAAATACATTCTAGATTGGTGTGCGCTGTGTTACCCCAAACTCTTTGACAATATTTTAAATGTGATTCGAAAAGTGAATTATATAGTACAAGTTTAATACATGTGATAAGAATGTAGCGTAAACGGACTACTAGACCAGTGATTTCGCTTGCTTTGTTTATGACATAATTAACATGATTATCCCATGACATGCTGGCGGAAAAGATAACACCCAAACATTTAAAATTCTCGGTAATTTCAGTACTTCTGGAATGTAACATAATATTTGGATGAGGAGGTATGCGCTTGCGTTCTGGCCTGAATATGACTACTTTTATCTTGCCTATATAAATAAGGAGAAATAAAAATAAAGAATGGCAAGTAAAAAAAAAGTGCTAGCTAACTCGATATCCGAGAAGAACGAAAACGATGGCGCGTTGAACTGCGTCGACAGTGCGATGAAAGAAGTACGAAGAGGGTGGCAGCGGCCGGCGACAGCGCTTCACTTCAAAGACGTCACGAAGTGTCACACGTCACGGACACGTGGTCATGCGTGGAAAGAAATGCACTCGCAAACAGTAGCTAGACAAATGAACGTTGCGTGGGATGAACGAGTGTTTCTCGTTGGTCCGTATAACATTCCTGGCTACTTTACACTTGCGTTAAGGATACCATATTTTGTTAAACGTGTTCGTGCTACCGCAAACAGGGGGAAGTGTTTAACAGAGAAAATAATAACCTGTGTTTTATACTAAAGAAGCAAAAAAAAACAGCTTTTATTGCTGCTTTGTTCTAATCTTGCTAGACTTTTGTATCGAGGTGAAATTTTCGATGTTTGTACTGCTCACTGTAACACTCAGCAACGTTAATCACTTGCATGATTACTCATAGTTTTCGTATGCAGCTCTTTATACAGCTTATCGTCCTCGTTGTTTATGCATGTTGTGATATAGTGGTAACAGTAAATTCAAACTGAAATTTAATTAAATTCTTCGACTTCACCTCCCTAGTTATTAATACTAGGAAGAGAAAATGTCACATTAAGGGGCTTTGACAGTTGGGCGAGTTGGTGTGGGCTCATAGTTAACAACAACTCAAAAAAAAAAAAGAGAGAGAGAGAAAGACTAAACACAAAGGAATGAGAACACAAGGACGGGTCCTTGTGTTCTCATCATTTTGTGTCCCGTGTTTTTTTTTTTTTTCACCATTGTTAACAATAAGTGGCTTGCTGCGCGTCAATGACGTTTACAAGCTATAGGGTATAGTCGCCAACAATGTTTCGGAAATCACACAAATGGGTGGCGCATTGATTGATTGATTGATATGTGGGGTTTAACGTCCCAAAACCACCATATGATTTTGAGAGACGCCGTAGTGAGGGCTCCGGAAATTTCGACCACCTGGGGTTCTTTAACGTGCACCCAAATCTGAGCACACGGGCCTAGAACATTTCCGCCTCCATCGGAAATGCAGCCGCCGCAGCCGAGATTCGAACCCGCGACCTGCGGTTCAGCAGCCGAGTACCTTAGCTACTAGACCACCGCGGAGGGGCAAGTGGGCGGCGCAGACGAAGGCGAATTCGCATTCAAATGGATGAATCAGTTTGCCACATGGCGCTCTCGAAGCGTAGACGTGAAGAGACGAAAAGAAAAAAAAAGGGGGGGGGGGCACAGCCTTTTCTG